AAAATAGTTTTGGAGCCAGTAATTCAAAATTTTTCAAAGTAAAAGATAAATAAAATGGATTAATACTGGTAAAAGTTTTCTGTTTCAGAAGGGGAGATTTGATAAATTGGAAGTACCCATTAATAAAATGAACTAGACTAGTCAACTAGACAGAGAAACCTTGGGATCTGAATGCCTGCTTGCAATTTCTGCAAGTTCATAAAAGGTGCCTGCAAGAGAAAGAAAGTGAGCTGCTGTGCGATCCTGGCAGACTTACCCTCCTCCCTTTCCCCAAACCATCCTTCATGATCCAGCCTCTTGAAGTGCATTCTCAGACCTCCTTCATGTCCGACTACCAGCCCAAGCAGCTTGGGCACAGGTATCCCCAGCACGAGGAGCAATTCTGGCTTCAAGCCAGAGGAAAAGTTGGAATAAACGTTGGTCCCCTGTTTATGACTTCCACATATGCTCTGCTCAAAATGTAACACTAGACAATTCAACTTACATTAGTGTTTTTTTTGAAGCATCTTAGTTGTGTTTGTACTCAAAAATGCGCTCAGAGTTGATTTACATTGTAATAAAGAAATATCATTCCTTTGGTAAGTATTACAACTACTTAGATATTCTAGTGAGAGCATTGCTTTAATGAAAACAACAAGAATAAGAAAAACAGACAAACAAACAATTTTCTCTGCCTGTTGAACTGTGACAACTGCTTTTCCTCCTATCCACCTCCATTAACAATGGAAACAGTTTTCCCCAACAAGTATTTGTAATAAAAGCTGCAGGTCGTTCCAAGTTTGTGGAGATTAGGACTTTGAATTTAATTGCAGATGCTTTCAGATGCCTTTTAATAAAAAAAAAAAATAAAAAAAAAAAATAAAAAAAATTAAGAAGTTGAATGTTACGGGATGCATCCAGTTAAAGAACAGAGCAGACCGGCTATATACCAGCAGGACTGATTCTGCTTTAAGGTTAAATCATTCTTAACACTGGTCTAAATTGTGCAACACACAGACTTACAGATCTAGGAGGGCAGACAGGAGGTATGAAACAGAAACAGCAGCTGACAGCAGGTGGAATAGAGACACACACACACGAAGAAAGAGAGAAGAGAGGAGAGAGAGAGAGAGAAGAGAGGAGAGGAGTAAACTCTAGCTGTCATTTTATTTTGTCCTAGCAGTTTCTGGCAAGGTAGATAGTTTTGCTGTCTGCCGTTTTCTCAAGCTGCAGGAGCACACGGAGGAGCAGGGCTGATAGCACATGAGACTGAGACAATGATGAAAACGGATTTTATTAGCAAACCAGCCCAGAGAGCTGCTGCTGTGTCACTCATTCAAACAGCCACCATGAAACAGGTACACTTTGATTCAGGTGTAACACAGAAACCTACAACTCTGTAGCTAGATAGGAGCTAATGACAAGGTACCACTGTTACAGCCTGATTAAGGAACTGGAAAACTTACAGAGACTTTAATTTCTGAGACTCAGACCCATAACGTAACAATACATCTTCCACACTTTCTCCCTTGCATCTCAGTCTTACCATTACTACCAGATAACCAAAATAGCTAAAACTGCATAGGGAGCACAGAACAGTTTTTATTAGGTTCTCCTTCTCTAATCTGACCGGTTTTTCAAACTCAGGCTTAATCCTTACTTTTGATACCTTGCATCATCTAACATAGAAAGCGAGCAAGAGATGCCCTCTTCAGAATACCGGGCAACAGGATGGAAGACACAAAACCGAAAAGAGCCTCTTGATTCACCACCTCCTTAGAGTCTACACTTTAAAGTCCAATAGGTAAAATTACAGACCAGAAAATTAAAAGCATTAAAACACAAAAGCTGTGGCCAGAAGATATCATGCTGTCATTATATTAATACCATAACAAATAGCCACAGTAATCATAGTCCATGAAAAGCATAGAAAAAAACATTTGCAGGTACAACATTATAACTTACTTATCTTTTTAAAATACAGATTGGATGCAAAAAAATCAGAGTATCACATTTGCTGCTGATAACTCTAAGTGTTAATGTTAAATGTTCTCTTAATGCTAAACTGTGCTTTCATAAGCCTATTGCAACAGATTGTACATAATAAAACACAGACACATTTAGCTACGGGCCTTAAGAATAGGGGAAAAAATGCCAGCATTAACAAGAAAACTGGCTGCTTATCTATTCTATCGTCCCTGAGCTATGCACCAATTAAAAGACTTATTTACTGTCCAATATAAGCTGAAAAGGCTTGTCTACTTTCCGATTACGGGATCTCTGCAGCAATAGTTGCAAAAGATCACCACCTAGAACATCCACAATACCGAGTTCATGCATGGCAGGGTGTTTGTGCTGTGTCTTTTTTTTTTTTTTAAACACAGTAAGTCAGCACACAGTATAAGAAAGGTACAGCTACTTTAGAAACTGTTATTAGAGAGGAAAAAAAGAAAAAAAAAAAGTTACTTAACTGAGTTGTCAGAGTCCTGATAATACTAGCAGACCTTGCTGTCCCTGAGCAACCTTAGTCCCCAGGAGCCCTATGCTTTAATGGGCAGGGGGTGTAAGAAAGGCCCCAGGTGAGGCTGGTCAGAGCCATTAAGACTTATTTGTGCCCACAGGACCCTGACCTAAATATCTCAAATGACCAGTCCTCCCACCGTTTGGCTTATCCTAAGATAATTGCAAAGGAACAAGTAGTGTATTCCCTCATATTTCTGAAATACAAAATCCACTCTGTATTACAGTGGAGAAGTCCCTGCGTTCTCCTGATGTAGGAGTTTACTTGAGTGTCACAGTTAGAAAAGAACACATTTTTACTTGTGCTGCGTGAAAAAACACCCATGTTACATGTTAAGTCACTTTTTCAGCTCTAGTGACTCATAACCGGGACTGCAAATGACGCATATGCTGAGGCAATTTGGATCCTCAGAGCCACAGCAGCCAAATGAAAGGAAAATGATGCCCACTGGAGACCCAGGCCAGTAATTAATCTTTAGAAAACATTCAGCATTCAAGTAAATTTGATCTAGAAAGTGATTAATTTCTTGGATGTTTGCAGAAGCGCAGGGACAGAAGGAGAACAAGAACATGCCAGAAAAGAGAAGTCACTGGCTGCTTTGAGCAGGAAGACAGGAGAGGCCTTGGTCTCCCCATGACTTGAGTCCTCCAAGTGTGAACCTACTCTCTCACAGCCAGGCTCATAACATGGCCATCTCCCTGCTACTGTTTTTCAAATTATGTATGCCAGAGTCCCTGCCCTTAAGAGCTCATAACTGGAATGGAGAAAACAATAACAGGCAAAAGAGAAAAAAAAAAAAAACAAACAACAACAACAACAACAAAACAAAACTGGGGTATCCAGTTCTGGCACTGCTGCTTTTAATTAAATCAGTGGAAAAGCATATGACAGGCAGATTTCCATTGTGGGTAGGAAGAGAAGACTGACTCCATGATCAAAGCTTCGGTTTGATGCCACGCAATGTGTATTTTCTTTTAACTGTGTTTCATTATAAAGCTAAAAGAAGCAGCGAGCGAGTCCCGGGCAGCAAAGGTGAAGGAGCAAAGTGGATGGGACTGTAGAGGAGACGAGTGCAACTAACAGGAGAAGGAAAGCGAAAGGAGGTGGGCAGCAAGGGGGAGAGGATAGTGAAGGGCTACCATGGTAAGAAAGCTATACGGCTAACGGGAACAGACTACAAGTGCAGGCAAAAGAGAGTCTAATTCCAAAGGTGAGTATCTAATTCAGCCACCTGACAAGCTCTTCACAGCTGGTTCCAATGCCCCCTTGTGAAATCTTCTACGTAGGAAGGTCCTTTGGCTGGAAAACCTTCTTTTTCAGTTGTAGCTGTGGCAGCTTTCAGAAAGCTCCCAGAACCGCAGCCACGCATCTCGTGGAACATAAAACAACAGAAAGAGCAATGCACAGCTGTGGGGCCAGCCACTGCCTGCAAGCAATGCCCTACACAAGGGTCTTCAAATTTTAGTCTGGTGTTTATACGAAATGGTGAAGATAAGACAGAGAAACATTCTGCGCCTAGTCATTAACAAATTAGACAAATACTTCATTCTTGGTACAATTCCCCCATAACAATTACAGACTGGACCTCCCACAGATTGCTGTTATTTAATAGAAAGCGCAGATAACAGATCATTCTGTGTTACTTTTCTGTGTAATCTTCACAACAGCCCGTAATTAAAAGCATTAAGCAAAAGAAGGAATCAACAGGAAAAAAAGATGCTAAAAACCAGGATGAATGTAGCCTATTTCAAGTGGCAAGAAAAAGGTTTGTGTTCCTAGCAGAACACCAAGAAAGGACTCTGATCACAAAAATCATTTATAGTCAACCCTACCCTGAAATGAAATTTGAATAGGTTTGAGGAAACCCTCCTGTGTAAAAGGGAAATGCTTTGAATGGAAGCTACAAGCTGAGCTTGTAGTATTATGGATCTAGAGGTCAAGAAAGACTTTTACTGACTTCGGCTAGTTAAGAATCATTTTCTCCCTCATCTTCCTTACCCATCTACCACATCGATAGTTGTCATCTCTGCAAATAGCTGATAGCTGTGTTGGGTAGCACAATCGAAGTTGCCATCATCAGAAATGAAAATGCACAGATTTTTTCTACTCTCTGTGGGTCTGACTGCAGCCTGAAAAGATTTGGACCAGACTAAAAAAAAAAAAAAAATCACATGCTGGCATATATTAGGAGTTCTTACAGGAGTGCTGGAGAAACTTGGCGTGATTTTCAATGGAGAGATGTTGGCGTTAGAGGAATCATTCTGAAGTTGACCATTGTAAGGCAGACTATATAAATATTACAAAACTATATGACATCAGATCAAAGAACATATGGATTATCCAAGAGAGAAGATTTGTGATTTGAAGTGACGTGGCAAGAATTTAAAAACAGTAAGTTCACCAGAACAATAGGAAAGGAAGATAAGAAAAAAGCAATTTCAAGAGTTCCCATAAATTAAAAATCCAAAATCTTCTTTTGTGTGTATATTTTCATGTGACTATGAATGAGTCCGCTAACCAGGCTGTGAAAGTCAGTGAAATGGAAAACGTAGTAATGTATACTACAGGTGAGTTACAACAACAGAATAACAAGCACCATTGTGGTGATGTGGTCAGTACTTCAGAATCACATTAAAAGGGGGTCCATTTCTAAAATGACACACTAGTCTCTGATTAACACACCTTACTATATGGATCTTTTCTAGCATGTACAACAAAACTTTTGGAAGCAGTCAAGTATTTTATGTCAGCTCAGTTTCCAATTTTCTTGAACATGTCAAACTGGCAATCTGTTTTGTTTGCAAATCAGCGATACAGAAGAAATGCATTCCACACATACATAAACTCAACTAGTATGAAATAAAAGAGACAGTATAACAAAGCTTTAATGAAACTGCATCCAGCATTTGGGGAAACTAATTATTTACGGAAAAGAGAGACCAGCTTCTTCACAAGAATTCAGCAAAATAGCATTTATAATGCTCTGATAAAATGTGAACAGCATAATCTTCCTTCAGCTTGCTGGAGCGTAAACCAGCAACATTTTTGAAAGTCATTAGAATTTCAGCAGTTGATAGTAAGGAGGCTTGTAAGTGATTTTTTTTTTTTTAATTGTTATAAGATGTTAATAGCAAAATGGAAGTTTGATGAGGATGCTAGTGTTGATGAAGTTACTGTCTCCACTACCAAGGCAAGATCATATAAGAAAAGCCATCACAGAGTTCTGTAGTGCCATCCTATGGCAGCAGCTCAGTAGAGACAAGTTCTCAGCCCTGCCAGAACACACAACTGAGATCTCCCATTCAGGTGGGTCTCCTGAGCGTCAGGGGGATCAGCAAGACACCAAGCAGGTCTAAATATTCAGATCATTTGCAGTAGCTATACTCTGCTTATTCCTTATGTTTTGGGTTTTCCCCCTTGAGCTGCACATGAAGTGACCAAGCAAATGGCTTCTCTTTCACACAATAGTCTTTTCCTTTGGAATTCCTAGAGTGAAAAGGAGAAAGATGATAACCCTTTTAGTAACAGAAATCTATTTTTAAGAAGTAATGAAGTTGATTCCTGTACAATGTTCAAAACTTGACGGCCATGAGAGGACGTAAAGTACCAGCATGGGTGATGGGAGTTTCCTTCAATAGCTAAAGTTTTCTCAGTGTTTTTTTTTTAAGAAAAATTCTCAGTTGAAACTGGTAGTTACTTCTGCTGGAAATAAAAGGTACTGTGTGTGATGGTTAGAAATAAACATGCCAAATCTCTTGCCCTTATTTGAAGGCACTACAAACAGTTTATCTTCACAAAGAGATAAAATATGCTTCATTCTAGATAGCCAATTCAGTGTAAAAATTCAATGAAAATTAAAACCTGTGTTATTATTATGTGAGCTATTTAGATAGGATAAAATCTATAAAGGACATGAGAGTTTATATTGACTTCTTGACTGAAATGAAAACAACCATCTGATCTGCATTAGGGTTTTACCACCCAGTCATTCTGAAGTTATTTTTTTCATTAGCAAATCCACTGCCAAAGTGTTTTTCTCTCTGCTCTAATCCAGTTTACTTACTCTCTGCCAAGTCTGTCAAACAGCTAATAGCTCGTACATTTGAGTGTATGTTTTAGTTCAGCTGATCATTGCAACTGAACTGACACCTCCTTGCTTTTGGGCTACTTGTTTTTTGAACTAGCTGTTGGGAAAAGGCCAAAAAATTTACTTTGTTCAAAAGCTGTCCTCAAATCAACTTTCAATTAATAGCTCTTACTCCCTCCCTGGCATGTCCCTCAATTTTATTTGTCTCTCTTTGGATGGTTTCAAAGACAGGCTCTTGTAATCTCCTCTAGTAATACAAGCCATATCTACTTCAACTTGATTCCAGTTGGACTCCACCTTTCCAGATATGGGTGACTAAATGTGTACGTAGTGTTTCAGATAAGGGCTTGCTGTGCTTTTTAATGGCATTAATACGCCCTCAAATTTTAATGAAAATACCTCACCCAATACATCACAGCTTTTATTTAAAGCCAAAATGTACCAGTGAGCATAGACCATACAGCAGAAGGCCAGCAAGGGGTCTCCAAATTAGCAGAGACTTGAGATAGTGAACATTAAAATTCTTCTTTGAAGCACTTTTACATTTAGAGAAAAGTTATCACGCATAATCCAATTTTTATTTTTGAGACTATTCCCTCCAAAATTTTCCTAGGAAAAGGTCAAATTGCACATTGGGGGTTTGACACTTTATGGGCATCAGTACAGGCACCATGATGTAACTCACCAGCGCTATGTTTTTGTGCATTAAGAAATGCAGGTGGAGAGAAAAGCTCAAAGAACCAGATTACCACAGAATTGGGCTGGTTTGAGCCATCTTTGATGCTACAGTCACCAAACAAGTGACATTCCTGGGCCTGATCCAAAGCATACTCAATACAGTGGAAACATTTCCCCTGATTTTCACAGGGTTCCGATCAGGCCCAGGGAGAACTATAAATCAGCCTCAGATAAGCCTTATGACAAATGCAATGCAGGTGTTTAGGAGCTGTTGTATTTCAGCTTCAGATATCTGTGAATCTGTTTTTCAAGAGGTATTTCAGAGAACATCTGGATTCTAAAGTTAAACAAAAATGAAAGTTTTGAAAAATATTATTGTAGCTCTGATGAGAAACCCCACTTAAGTCCTTTTTTTACTTGGTGAAAATTTGTGTATTCTGATATTATTAAAATTCATACACTTCTTGTGTGTAAGAAACACCTTACAAGGATTTCAACTTCCCTTTACAAGGAGTTATTAGTTCACTTAAAAGCATAGCCAGAGAAGGATTCTGCACTTAGAGAAGACAAACTCTTCCTTTCTTTCTCTCCCTGTATGTCTCTAGAGATAAATCAGGAGTTTGGTCCTTCTCTACACTTAGTTCTTTGCTACAGAAAGAACCAATATATTTCACTTTAAGACGATGCCTTCTTGAATGAGAGTTTGACTAAAGCTCTCATTTGTATTTGCAAAGAACTGCAAAAAGATAATGACTGAATGATTATCACAAAAACAGCGTAAAAGGTTCCCAAAAAAATGCTTTATTTTATGCCACATGTGTTGAGTTCCCAAACAAAACCAGGCTGGGGAATATATTTACCTCTGCTTAGTCAGGTCATTGTAGAAATCTTGTCCCAGATCGAACTGGAAGCTCACACTGAGGATGACTTGATGTATCTAATCTGAAGTTGATGAAAGGATTTCAGAATTCTAGAGCTTTCAACATAATTTCTTTCACAAACAATAAAAGCTGTTTAAAAAAACAAAAAGGGATGTACCAGACTTCTGTTTAATATTAAAAGATAATGAAACCGAAAGCTCCTAGAAACATGGTGACTTATTAGTACCATTTGTAAGCCAGAAGCTAATCACAGCAGCTACACCAAAGAGAAGAGGCAATCCTGCTTTGAATTGGACTCCTTCATCTCTAAAATACATCAGCTGATCTTCTTTTTCTTTGTGAAACCCTGAGGAGATAGTAAAGTGGCAAAACAAGACTGTTTAATGACAGATAGGCAGAAGGAAGGAAGCGAAGCTCCAGATCCAGTAGGAAAGTGGAGATCCCTAAATGCACTTCTGCACTGCCACTCTTCAGTTAAGCTTGGGCTATATCAGACCTCTGAGCTATGTATGGGGAGAAGCTGACCTATTTCTATCAGCTCTCCATAGGCCTTTCTGCCTCACAAGACAAAGATTGCTGTGTGTGCCTGCCCTCCAGAGCGTGTGGTCAGAGCCTGGAAACGATGATCCCCTGTTCCACTCTCTGATGTAGGAACTGTACGTGCACCAACAAATCTTCAAAACACATCACAACTTCTTTGATAAAAGGTTAAATCACTGATATAATGTCCCTTGCCCTAATAGGTATTAAATTGTTATAGGAAAATAAAAGGTGGCGAAAATTAGTGATCGTATGGAAGACAACTGTCTAGAAAGGAGAGGGAAGTATTTTCTTCCTGCTGTTTAAGACACTAACAGTGTCCTGTTTGCCAAGAGAAATGAACTGAAAATCCAATGGCATTCAAAAGAGAAATCTTCCTTCTCTTACTCTAACCGTATACTGGTTTTGCAGAATGCAGGGTCCTGGTTGGAATCTAGCCTGGTTTTGCCTAATTATAAAACTAATATTAGAGTTTCCATCACTTCTCATTCAGAAAAATGTCATTTTTAAAATGCATTCCCTCAGCTATTTAATCCTCTCAGTTTACCCAGCAGTCATGGCATATTGCACAGGCTCTTCTTGCCATAAACAGACCTGGATTTTTTTCTAAACCAGCTCTTCCTGAGTGTGGAGCCAGTGTGAAACTGTCTTCTCTTTATGGAGCCAGCAGTTTGCAGGCAGCAGTTGCATATGGAAAGGAAATCACTTTTCACTGGATTCTACTGCCTTGTAAGAATTGACATTATCTGCATATGCAGTGCTGAGTAGCTTATAGAGGAGAGAAAAAAACAAAAGCTAAAGATTTCTTAATAATGCCAGAGAAACGCAGCATTTAAAACCCTGTCCAGATCTTGTGCTTTACACCTACCAAACTGAGTCCCAGATGTACTGCCCTCCACGAGTCCAAAAGAGTTAGTGCCCAGATCCAGTTCTGGAAATGAACTTCATAGATTAGGGGCATCTCTGTGTCATTACAAACTATGCAGGCAAGAAATCTGTTAAAAATCTTATACCTAAGGAGCTTCATCATACTCCCATTTTAGTCGATGGGTTTTTAAAAAATGAGTTTAACAATCCACATTGCTACATGTCTGTGCTTACAGCTGCCATTAATAACACCAGGGCTCCAGTGGCAGCAGCACCTGTCTTACCATAAGGTTGTCTTTGCAGGGCCCTTCCCCACCTATTCTCCTTCATAAACAAAAGTAAATGTGAAACATTGGCTGGTTTTTCAAATGGTAAATTTATTGCAGGAACACCACTTGAAGTACCAGAAACCTTCCTGCTTTTATAAATCATTTCTTGTAATAAGAGCTTTTTTGTTTAGATAATAAAGTCCCTTGGAAGCAGCATTCTTGGAATGGATTGCAAATTAAGACCT